AGAGTGAGCCGGAGGAGCTCAGGCCGCGCGCCGTCAAGCTCGAGGCCGATGCGCCGTCAAGCTCGAGGCCGATGCGCCGCCGTGTCGAAGCGTGATTGGCCCCGAGGACTACCTTCCCCTGGGGCAGGAGGAGCACCTTGAGCGTGTTGTCCTGGAGCAGTCGGCGAGGGAGCAGGAGGAGGCCGAAGAGCGCCGCTGCCGCGACTCGAGTACGAGAACATGTTCCTCCAGACGGGCGTTGCGGCGTCGCAGGCGCACGCGTCCAAGGAGGCGGACCTGCGCTTCATGAAGGCGGAGCAGGCAAAGTTCTTCATTGACCTCGACTCCTCCGACTCTGATTGAGCGACGCCGCTGGTCAGCTACCGCGCAAGCTCTGTGGTGGGCACTGACCTCAGTCACGGTGCCTGTGCGGCGCTCCCACCGCAGGTGGCCACCGTCTTCTGCAGCTGCCGGGAGCCGCAGCGCGAGCCGGCCGCCAGCGACCTCATCTTGACCAAGCCTATGCTGCAGCTGTCCCCCCCCCCTCTCTCGGGCCCCGCTGCTGCTTCAGGTGCGCCATCTGCTGCGGCTTTCGACCAGAATCTGGGCGCGGCGACCTGGCACTTGGGGGATGTTGTTCATGCTGCCTCTGATGCAGCCCCGGATCCAATCCAAGCCTAGCATATGGAGGGGGTACAGGCCCAGTCGGTGGTGCATGCGTCCCCCCGGCGCAGTCAGCGGATCAGGAGCACGTATGACGGCGTGCGCCAAGGCAGCGGCGTTCGAGTCTGGCTCCGGCAGCGGGCCATCTCGCCGTCCCAACTCTTCGTGTCAAAAGAAGGCGAAGGCGATGGCTGTGGTAGGGCTACTTCAGCTGCCACTCCTGCACACCCCGTCTCCGCTGACGAGGGAAAAACAGCGTCAAATTGCCCAAGTGTGCGACCTCAATGCCCCTGCCATCCTTGATCAAGTCAGGAACCGAGAGGCATCTGCCTGCCTCATCTGGTGATGCATCCCCTGCTGCCAGCAGCTCCTCTGCTTCTTCCGTGCGCGTGCTCGGCTCTTCCAATGAATAGCTCTCATGGTGTCGTTTTCAGTCTTTGTGCTTCAGTCTTCGAGTCTGTTCTAGTTATGGTTTCCATGCTTAGTCTAGCAAGTTGTCATCAATCTCCAAGTTATCATAGGTTTTCTAGAGGCTGTAGTTTGGACTACTCCAGGGGCAGGTTTATCATGTTAGTCGAGTCCAGCGTCGGTCTATACCATGTATGCATTTGTTTCAACAAGTTTGTATCAGCATCTGTCCCGCTTGCATTCTCTTTAGATTGCTTATGTATCTTCTTTTGGGTTGTGTACTCATTGCTAATCCATGAAGATTCTGAGTTGGAATGTCCGGGGACTAGGGGAAAATGATAAGTGCTCACTGGTCCGTGATACTATAACATCTTGTTGATCTAGTGTTGTTTGCTTGCAGGAAACCAAGCTGTTGGCCCTCTCTAGCTTCAAGTTGAGATCCTTCCTGCCCACCAACCTCAAAGATCACTCTGTCACTTTCTCTGATGGCGCTTTTGGTGGTATCCTAGTTGCCTGGGACCCCGGCTGCGTCCTGGGTCAAGTTGTTGCAACACACAAATTCCATATCACCATGAAGATGACTTCTCCTACTACCAGCAGCTCCTTCCTGCTCACCATTGTGTATGCACCGTGCCGAAGTAGGGATAGACCAAGTTTCTTTGAAGCCATAAACAACACAGCTGTGTCATCGGATACCCCATGGATTGTTCTTGGGGACTTTAATATGTACAGGTTTGCGTATGAGAAGTCTCGTGGCCATGTCAGTTGGAGGATGATGGAGAGTTTTAACTCCTGGATCCGAGGGCATGATTTGGATGATGTTCAAATCGATAACAGGCGCTTTACTTGGTCCAACAAGAGAAACTCGCCTACTCTTTCTCGTCTGGACCGAGTGCTTGTCAATGCCGCGTGGAATCTAAGTTTCTTACAATCAGCCGCTACTTGCATATCAATAACCACGTCAGATCATGTGCCTATACTTGTGTCTTTCTCTGCGGACACCCTCAAGAGCAAGTTTTTCAGATTGGAGAATCACTGATTAAAGATGGAGGAGACCAGAAATATCATTATCAATTGTTGGTCAAAGGGTACCAGAGATCTCCAATCCTCTGCTTCTATCGTCAACTTCAAGATGAGGCGTACAAGGGCTGCTATTCAAAGTATGTGCAGGCGGAAATACACCTTGAAGGCGCTGATAGATAATAACAAACATGTGGTCTGCTTTTTGAATGTTGTTGAGGAAAGGAGAAGTTTGTCTGTCTTAGAGGCTGTTCTCAGAGAGTTTGCTTCTGCCAAAGCAGAGCAGCTAATTCTTTGGCAGGCAACTTTTTGGCGGCGCCGTGCCAAGGTGCGATGGTGTGTCTCAGGGGATAAGAATTGCCAATTCTTTCATGCAGCTGCCAACTGCCAAGCATGCCGTAATAACATCAAGGTTATTGTTAAAGATGGGGTGGAGCACTTCCAGAACCGCCACAAGCTCAGCCTGGCTATGAGTTATTTTGCTGAGATCCTAGGGCATCCTGCTCCTTCGAGACCTTTTGTCCATTTAAGCTCTCTGTATGCACCTACGGACTTGTCAGAGCTTGGGGAGGTCTTTTCTTGGGCTGAAATAGTGGAGGCCATTGACAAGCTACCGAATAACAAAAGTCCAGGGCTAGACGGTTTCACAAATGACTTCTACAAAGCCTTCAAATCCCTTTTGAAAGATGATCTCCTCAGGTTCTTCGGTGACTTTCACAATAACAATGTGAGTCTAGATGGAATCAACACCACTTTCATCACTTTGCTGCCTAAGAAAGACACCCCCTTGGAATTGCGTGACTATCGGCCTATATCGTTGGTGCACAGTACGCCAAAGCTGGCTTCCAAGGTGATGGCCAATAGACTGAAAAAGAGGATCCCTAGCTTAATCCATTCCCCGCAATCTGGGTTCATGCGTGGTCGTTCGATCGTGGAAAATTTTGCCTTGGCTGCTGAAATGATACAGTGTGCTCATAAAAGGAAGCTGCCAGTTATCGCCTTGAAGTTGGATTTTCACAAAGCTTTTGATAGTGTTAGCTGGCATTGCCTGGATCAAGTTCTTGAGGCCCGGGGTTTTCCACCCTCATGGATTCAGTGGGTTCATTCTCTCCTTTCCACTAGACGCTCCCGTGTTCTAATCAATGGTGAGTTGGATGATCCCATTCTTGCCAAAAGAGGCTTCCGGCAAGGTGATTCCTTGTCCCCGTATCTCTTCATCCTGGTTGCGGACGTGCTACAGAGATTATGTTGCCAACACTTCCAGGAGGGCACCCTGCTTCATCCCATGGGCCCTGACAGCTTCTTACCAGTGCTGCAGTACGCGGACGACACTTTGATACTTTTTCGGGGTGACATTCAACAGGCGTCTGTAAGCAAGAGCATCCTTACCTCTTTTTCAGACTTCTCCGGGCTGTAGATCAATTTTCACAAGAGCACACTCATACCTAATTCCATGGATGCGCCTGTGGCTTCTGAAATTGCCCAACTCCAAGGCTGCCCTGTCTCTTCCTTTCCATGCACTTACCTTGGGTTGCCGCTGTCTCTGCACAAGCTTACACATGGCATGTTACTCCCTGTCATCCACAAGGTTGATCGGAGACTTTCCGGATGGCTGGCTACCTTCATGTCCATGGGCGGGAGGCTTACTCTCATCAACTCTGTCATTGCTGGCATCCCTACCTATTTCATGTCCTGTTTCTCTTGGCCCAAGGAATCTTATGCCCATGTACACTCTGTCCATAAGAAGTGATTTCCCTCTACCATCACCCCACACGGAGATCGTACCGCGACATCTTAACTGCCAGTTGAGTTCACCCATGTCGCTACGGCGTCCACAACCCTACAAATAAGAAGCATGGTTAGAGGATATACATATTTTTTAGACAAGGTAGATCAATTTATATCTCTGATCAATGTGGGCAAGATTGAGATGCAATGCAATCCATCCAGTTGGTTTATCAAAATAATCAATCTCCTCCCCCCCCCCCATAGCCAGGATTAGATTAAAGCCCTAATCCAAGTGTGCATCGATACTTCAAGTGTGCATCAATATTCTTTCATAAGGCCCGAAGTTGGTAAACCCAAATAATCACTCCCTTCAAGCTGGCATACAAGGCTCATTTGGTTTCTCCAAAATCAAGGACCCCGATAACGTCCGAATGTTCAAGATTTGACCATGACAAAGCAAACGTTTTCTATGACAACTTTAGTGATGCGAGGATGACAAGTTTAGTTGGTAAACATGGCAAATCCGGGCTCATTGTATTTTTTTTGCCAGAAAATTGCCTTGCATGTTAAGTAAACTTGTCATCCTCGTGTAAACATGTCATAAAAATGTTTGATTTGCCATGATCAAATCCCAAACGTTCGGGAATTTTCATTTCCATAAATCAAACCTCTTTTTTCGTTTGACCATGTTTATTGAGAAAAAAAATGTCAATGCCAGGGTATCAAATCAATATAACTAGATCTAACAAAAGTATGATTATCATATAGTATTTATTTGAAGTTGTACATGTTATGATTTTATTGATAAACTTGGTCAAACTTGAACAAGTTTGACTTAGGACAAACCAAATTGAAAACTAGGCCCGAGTAAGAATTGAGCCAACATAAAACAAGCATTATAATCAAGCCCAAACAACAAGTACAATTTTTTGTTAATTCCAAGTCATCTAAGAATTCTTAGTTGTTTGGTCGTGCTGAGAACTGTCAATTCGAGGTTAAGATCCATGCAAAGTTTAAATTTTCTTGAACTCTTTGAACAAATGCTCAATCTGACTAAGAACAAGAAGTCCAAACATCACGATTATCCGATCACACTAACGTCAAGCACCAAAAGCATCTGAACCATGGTCGAAAGAAAACATCTAGAGCTAACAAGTACTATGAAAGTAAACTGAGACGCGAACGACTAAAAATGATCATTTTCAGTTGGCGGCGGCGCCGTCCTTGGACAGCGTGCCCATCCACGCCGGCGGCAACATCCCGGTCTGCTCGTGCACCGTCTCCGGCAACGGCGGGAGCATCTTGTACACCCCAGCCACCTGCTGCAGTGCGCCGCCCTCGCCGCCACCATCTCCGTTGCTCCAGACGCTGATCTTTGGCCGCAGGCCGTTGACGGCGCTGGCGTTGATGCGCGCCATCTCGGCGTACATGCCGCCGTCGATCATGAGGTAGTCCCTGAGCGCGCGGTAGTCGCCGCCGAGCGTCGCCAGCATGGACGCCACGTAGTCCGCCTTGGCCCTGCCCACCAGCGACAGCGCCTCCGCCTCTCGCTGCTTGGCGTACAGCTTGGCGTCCTCCGCCATCTTCTGCTCGAAGAAGAGCGCGTCGGCCTGCGCCTTGCGCGCCTCCGCCGCCTTCATCTCCTCGTACAGAGCCGCCTCCGCCGCCTTCTGCCGGCCGTAGAACAGCGCATTCGACTCTTGAACCTACACAGTATATACAAATGTCAGTCAGTGATCTTACATACAGGATGATCGATCGATAAAGCTGTCAACAAAAAGATCTAACAAATCCATAAATAATTTTCAAAAGAATATATGATGCATGATCGAATAATGAAGAACCTGTGTGTCATATTGCACGGTGGCCTTGCTGAGCTGCTCGGCCTTGAGCTTCTCGGTCTGGCAGAGGGCGTTCTTGATCTCGACCTCCATCTGCAGCTCGGCGTCGCGGATGGCGACGGCCTTGGCGGCCTCCACCTCGGCGACCTTGGCCTGCCGGTCCCAGCCGGCCTTCTTCATGGCGAGGTCGGTCATTGCGGCGGCGACGTCGGCCTCCCTGGCGTTCTGAAAAACCTGCACCTCGGCATTGACCTTGGCCTCCTCCTTGAGCGCCTCGCCCTGCTGCCGCACCGACAGCACCTTGGTCTCGGCGTCCACCTTGGCGGCATTCTGGAGCGTGAGGCCGGTCCGCTCCTTGGCGCCCACCTTGCCCTTCATCCTCGCCTCCGCCACGTCCACCTTGGCCCTGCTGGCCGCCTCCTGCTGCGTCTTCTGGCCGAGGTAGGAGAAGTACTCGTGGCCCGGCACGTCCACCAGCTGCTTCACGTTGGCGTTGTAGATGAAGAGCCCGAACTGGTCCAGCTCCTTCTGCACGCTGTCGAACACCTCCTTCTTGAACATCTTGGTGCCGGTGAAGATCTCGTCCATGGTGAGCTGCGCCGCCAGCACCCGCGTCTCGCCCTCGATCACGCCCTTCACCAGGTCGTGCACGCGGCTGGCCGAGGCGCCGCCCAGGTGCAGCGGCGCGATGAGCTTGGCGTAGAGCAGGAGCTTGGCCTCCACGGCCGCCTCGGCGGCGTCGCCGAGCTTCAGGGTGGTCACCTGGGGCCCGATGGTGAAGACGGCGGGCAGGACGAAGGGCAGCTTCTCGGAGCTCATGGCGTTCACCTCGAACTCGTAGTTGACGGGCGTGACGCTGAACCTCTTGCACTGCTGCCCCGCGAACACCCACGCCTTCTTAGCCAGCTTCACGTCGTTGATGCCCCAGCCGGTGATGGCCAGGTACTCCGACGCGTCCGCCACGATGAAGCTCGCCATCTCGGTTCGCCGGCGGTATTGCTGCCTGATTGCTGCTAGGGTTTTCTCCGCTTCGTACGTACGTAGGTGTTGAATCAATTGGTGGCGGCGGTATATATATAATGGCGGTGATAAATAAGGATACGGATAGCATCATGAATGCATGGAAACGAATCAATCGAGGAAGGAAAGACTTCCTAGCATGCAGTACGTACGTCTGATAGGAAGCTTCCATGACCATGCACTAAGCCAAGGTGCTTGCGAATCAACCTGTGGTTGAGTTGGTTAGGTGGACAGTGTTATCCCCAACCCACCAGGCTTCAAATCCTAGTGCTCGCATTATTCCTGGATTTATTTCAGGATTTCCGGCGATGCGCTTTCAGTGGGAGGAGACGTTCCCGTCGACGACGAGGCGTCTACGATGACTTCGTAAATCTCAAGATGATATGCCGGCTCAGTCTCTCGGAGGTGCTCATAGGGGTAGGGTGTGCGTGTGTGCGTTCATAAGGATGAGTGTATGCGCGTGTATATGAGCGCTTATGTCTGTACTGATGCTATAAAAAACTAAGCCAAGGTGCTTAATTAGGAAGGTGCTTGGTATAATCGATTGGGGTTAAAACTCACGCTGCGTGTCATTAGCTCAGGAAAGGTTTTACTTACGTGGCCCGTGGCTGTCTGTTTTTGTTTTGCGTTCGTGGCCTGTGCTTCTCGTTTGTCAAGCGGGCTTGTGTGGGTCATTTTATGTTGCAAGACCGGGGTGGGCATACGTATGTTAATGGGCTTTTTTCTAGTTGGATCAGTAGCGTTCTTGCGTCCTAGGCCCTGTTTGGTTCATAAGTCCTACGACTTTTTTTAGTTCCAATTTATAAGTTTCAAGTCCCTAAAAAGTCCCTACCTGTTTGGTTTCTGGGACTTATAAGTCCCTATAAGACCATATTACAACTATAAGTCCCTATAAGTCCCTCCTTGAAAGTCTTATTTCATAAGTTCTAAATGCCCACTTTAAGTCCCTATAAGTCCCTCCTGTAGGGACTTTTTTAAGTCCCTAAACCAATAAGTCCCTGAAAACAAACACCCTCTAGTTTTCATGATTTGGAAGTGTTCAACCTTGCATTACTGTCAAGACAAGCCTGGCGAGTCCTGCTACATCAGCCTCACAAATTTCTAAAAAAAGAAATAACTACATGCGCCTGAGCTAATCGCTCAAAAAAAACACACACACTCGACCAGTCTGAGCATGGTCGTGGAGACTACCTCTTCTAACGACGATGCATCATGAATATGAGCATGGAGAACAGCGAGCTTCTGACCAGAACCTGTTGTAATCCTAGAGGACGACCGCCACACTGCAGTTGCTCTACCGGTAGAATATACCTCGACCACGCTGGTCAACCAGCGCTACTTGCATCGTTTCTGTGCAGCTATCCTATGTGCACGTTCACCTGGGCCAACTTCTTCTCGTCGTCTGCTGGCTCTTCTTACGTCGTGGCTATCGCCATGGTTCCTGAGGACGAACAATTGTAGAGCACTTGGAAGCTGGAGGCTGGAGCAGGTTCATCTCGTTTCATGTCCACCCACTAGGCATCACCGACGATTCAACAGCATCAACAGTACAGCCTGTTTCCTCTTGGTTGCCTGATGTGTGCAGACGTCGTCGTCACCTAGTCGGTGTTGAGGTGCCCAAAGCGATTGGAAAACTGACGCCACTGCAGACACTCGGTGTCATTAACGTCGCCGCTTCAGGGGCAAAGGCCTTCTTGCCAGAGCTCAAGAAGCTCACCCAATTGCGCAAGCTCGGAGTGTCCGGCATCAACAAGCATAACAGCAAGCATTTTTTCTCTGCAATCTCAGATCATGGCCATATTGAATCCTTATCTGTGCGCCTCAACAAGGACAGCAATCAGGGTTGTTGCTTGGATGGCATCCCCCTGCCTTTGAAGAACCTGCAGAGCCTTAAACTGCACGGGCTTAATGATAAATTGCCAGAATGGGGGAGTGACCGGCTTAGCAAACTCGCAAAGTTGGATTTAGAGATGGCCACATTAATGGAAGGTGACATAAAGTTCATTGGTAAGCTACCACAACTATGTATTCTTCGCATCAAGCAGCTTCAAGATCCTGAGCTCCATTTCCATGTCCTTGTAAATGGAGAAGAGGACAACTGTTACCAAAAGGTGAAGGTCCTGGAGATTGCTTGCAGCTCTAGCTCCAGCAGCTTTCATGTGAATTTTGGATGCAAAGCAATGAAAAAACTTGAGCTGTTCAAGGTCGACTGCCCCAGTGTGTCTTCACCTCAGTTTTCTGGCTTGGAGCATCTTTTTGAACTCAAGGAATTCTTACGTAACTAAGGTTTCAGTGTCCAAACACTCAGCAAAGAATGGTGGTCGCCAGCTTGCCGAACAGCCAGGCAATAAGAAACACAAACCTTGCTGTGTTGCTAGAGGAACCACCACGATCTTCCCAAGGGGGGTCTAAATTCTGTAAAGTTTATGTACAGGGGGTCGGTTATTTATATGATTAGTTTGATTTCCGCTCACCTTCATCGCGAGCTGTGGTTGGTGTGTTGTTGTGCATATATCAATACTGTGTTTTAAATTTATTGTCTCCTCTGTAGTTAGAAGGAGCCATTTTGCTAAGTGTCTCAATGATTGGCATAAATCAAATAGGTAACTTTTCAAGATATCTGAGTTTATTATGTCAAAAGGGAATGGGTGAGCAGAAGTACTATAGTTGTTGGTGATCTATTCTCACCTCAAATGTTCAGTTGGTTCTCTGCCCAGCAAGTTGCTGCTTGCTCCTTGAAATGCTGCACCATTGTTTGACTTGCTCCATAGTATAGCACATTACAATTAAGTCAAAAACCAGAAAAAATCACCATGCAACTGTCCAATCTCGCAAATAAAGGGACTAGGTGAATTATTATAAATGCAGCATAGTGTAAAATTATTATAAATATGCTAGTGATTCAAGCTTGTATATATGCTCAGTTACGTGCCCATTGTCTTCAAGCTCATCAAACTCCATAGCGTGGTTAACATTCTCCTTGAAAACATCCTCAGGTGCACTCACGGTATTGCTGGTTTGGTTGGTCTACCTGTTCTTATGTGGCCCCATGTTTACCCGTCCTAATGCAGCGAACAAACATAAAATCAGATAAGATGAACCGACACAGACAATACAAATGTACACTTCCTGAAGTTCAAAAGTTGTTTTCATGGTTTACTCCAGTACAATTAGAGTTCAATGAACTTAAATAATTTTCAGATAAAATGTTCAAGCATCTATGGCACCCTGAAACCCAAACCATCGACGCTAATCAACCGAAACTTCGTTTCGGATTGGGTATGAAATACTAGTAGGCCAAAATAATGCGGATGACAGTCGACTCGGCTTGAAGTAAAAGATTGCCGAATCAAACCAATGGAATGCGCTATGAATGCTTATGTAACACCCGGAGGAGAATGGAGGGGGAGGTCGTACTGCTGCTCCGCGGAGGAGCCGGAGGGCCGGGGTGGAGAGGAGCCGGATCTCCTTGGCCGCGGGGAGGGCCGAGGGCGCTCGCAGCGGGCGGCGGCGCTCCGGCTACGGCTCCGGTGGGGAGGCGCGGGCTATAGGGCTCCAGGGGGTCCTGTCTTTTTTTTTTTTTTTGAGGGGGTCCTGTCTGGGCTGAAGGGTTTGGGCACCGGCGGCAGGCTCGATTCTGCCTACTTCCCGGGCTGCCGGCCCAGACAATATTTGCAAAGCATCCACTATAGCCACCGCACTGGCTAGCCCCAGTCTACCTTTTTTACTCTGTCTTTTTCATCCGATGGTAGTTCCTTTAGAAAAAATGAACATGGCATTTTATAAACTTTTTGACTATGTCATGGAAATTTAAACAAAAAATCATTCTCTGTTTCTTTTCACCTTTTTATTATTAAGAGATGGCATTTTTATTATTAAGAGACGGCATTTTTTACTATTACGAGATGATACTTTTTATTATGAGATGGCATTTTATACTATTAAGATATGAATTTTTTTTACTATTAAGAGGTGAAACTTTTTATTATTAGATGTTTTTATATTATTAATAGAAGAAATTTTTTATTACTAAGAGATGACACTTTTTATCATGAGATGGCATTTTATATTATCAAGGGATGATTTTTTTTAATTAAGAGATGACATTTTTATTATTAAGAGATGACATTTTTTGTTTATTAAGAGATGATATTTTTATATTAAGAGATGGCTTCTTTTTTTTAACATCAAGAGATGGCTTTTTTTTGTTCAGTAAGAGATGGCAATGTTATTTTAGATGGCATTTTTCGTTTATTAATAGAGTACATTTTTATCATGTATTATTTTTTCTTTTCTTTTGGCAACTCAAATTATAGGACCACGGCAAGTTTAAATATAGTTTTTAACATCCATGGTTAATTTCTGGAATTATAGGATGGCATTTGTATTAAAAAAAATAGATTCAGAGCATGTCATTTTCAAATTTTAGATTTTCCATGTGTTTTTATAAGAAAATGTTTTGGGGGTTCATGGCATTTTTCATAAATATAAAAAAAATAGCTAGCTAGGCGTTTCGGGTCAATCGGGGTCGCGCTGGCCTGCCACCCTATCGAATGATCGAAACCGATCTCTGGGAGTTGCCCCGTGGCGAATGAATCGTTCGATCCTTAAAAAAGATGGAATTTGAACTGGCTTAAATGATCTATAGCAGTGCGGATGTGATATACAAATAGAATCAACTTATGTAAGAGCATGTGCAATGTGTGAGTTTTTCTAGCACTATGATTTCTGTCCCGATGGAAGAGAGATTTTTTTCCCATGAAAACAGAAATGTCGTGCATTTCGATGCATTGATGGAAGAAGAGTTTGTACAATCTCAACGATGGGCACCATCCACAGATTACAAATACAACATTCCTAGTTGTTATCCTTGGGTTCATGCTGGCAGTAAGGCCATCTGCTCCTTTCTCGTTTGCCGGCACCCATTTCTTAGCTTCTGACTTGATGATGCTAAAAGGGTGAGCTAAGTTTAGTTGGGTGCCACGACTTTATCTAAATTGTCTTGTGATAGCATCGTGCTCCTGTCTCACTATTTATCGATTCACTTGTATCTAAATTGTCTTGTAAGCTGATCTCATGATGTCACCTTTGTGCCTTTTATATAGGGCGACGCTACGCGTCCGCCGGCCGACTTTCTAATTTTATCTGTCGCCCAAACGGCCGTTGGATGCCCGACCTAGTAGTCGCCAGATCTACTGCCCGTGCCCCGCATGTACTAGTTATTTTCCGCAACAACCGCTCTGTTGCAGAAACAATAGCACTCTTGCCCCCCGGCCCCTGACAGATCTGCGGCCCGCGCGATTTCGCAACAAGAACAATTCTTGTAATAATGCTCTTGTTGCAAGATCTGGCCTTCTCTGATTTCCTGCAACAAGACCTTTGTTGTTAAACCTCATCTTCTATAATTTTCTGCAACAGGACTCATGTTGCAAAACCTCTTCTTGTTTAGTTTTCTGCAACAAGACCCTTAGAAAAATTGCAACAACATCTCCCGCCGCGTCTAATTTTCTGCAACAACATTTTTTCACGCGTCTAATTTTCTGCAACATCTTCCACGTGTCTAATTTCTGCAGCAAGATCCTTCAAAAATTACAACAACATCTTGCGTTGCGTCCAATTTTCTGCAACAAGACCCTTGTTGCAAAAATTAAAACAACATCTCCGCCACCTCTCGTCCCGTCCGATAGACACATAATTAGCCATCAGATCTCCCCCAACCGTGCGCGCCCCGAATTGCAACAAGTCGGTTGTTGCGCTTCTTCCTCCGATAGTGTGAAGCGAGCGGTCCGTTTCGTTTCTCTATTTTTTTGTAACAATACTCTTGTTGCGAAACCTTCTCTTCTCTAAGTTCCTGCAACAAGACCTTTGTTGCAGAAACCTCCTCTTCTCTAATTTCCTGCAGCAAGTCTGTTGTTGCAAAACTTTTTCTTCTCTAATTTTCTGCAACAAGACCCTCTTGTTGCGAAACCTATTCTTTTCTAATTTCCTGTAAGAAGAGCTTTGTTATGATGAAGCCTTCTCTTCCCTAATTTTTTGCAACAAGTCAGCTGTTGCAAAAGCCCATGATATGCGAGCGGTGCAGCCCGGCAGCTTAGAGCGCACGCGCGGCCGATTCACATCACCGCATGGGGCGGCTTTCAGCATCTCCCGCCTACTCGCAGGCCGCTGCACCGGCCATCGGCCATGGCACGACTTGTCGTCGCGGACGAGGTCAATGTTTGGATGAAGAGACACATGTGTATCAGCATGCAAGCTACTCCCTCCGTTCCTAAATATTTATCTTTCTAGACATTTCAAATGACTACTACATACAAATGTATGTAGACATATTTTAAAGTGTAGATTCACTCATTTTGCTTCGTATGTAGTCACTTGTTAAAATGTCTAGAAAGACAAGTATTTAGGAACGGAGGGAGTAGGTGTGTAGAAGATGAATGAGTAAAGAAAGGAATGAGCGGCTCTCCCTCGAGAAAATTCCCCGAGGAATTCTTTTTAGGCGCCCGCCATGGCTAAGAGATTTGCCGTTCATTCCCCGAGATTAAATTCTTTTTAGAACCCAAGGGATATAAACTGAAGAGGTAACAAGGACACAAGTATTAGGTAAAAAAATGAACAAAAAAGCATGGGAGGGCCCAACCGGGTTCGAACCGGTGACCTATTGATCTGCAGTCAATTGCTCTACCACTGAGCTATGGACCCTGATATGCTTAAGCGGAACAATTAACTCACTAATCCTTTAATCCGTGCTTTTTTGCTTTTTAAAGCCGTTTCTTATTGTTCTCTCGCTAAACATTTAAAAAATCATGTATATAAAGTGATTAAAACGCCGAGCAAACGACAAAGCCCTGCACAAAGAGCAAAAAATTACAAATTCGCCAACTGAAAACCAATGGCAAATCAAACATATTTGATATGTTAAACTGCCTTCAGCTGATATATAGATGATCCAAATAGAAACCGCCGGTGCAAGTTAAGATGGGCAATTACAAATTTCACTGAACTCGTAATCAACGGCAAATCAAACATTTCTCAAACTTTTTAAATTGTGTTCTGCCGATATATTGATGGTCCAAATACAAACTACGAGCGCAATTTAGATACAGGACAGGCAAAACTCAGAACATCCCAAACTACAACACTGGACCGGTAATCAATACTGCTAAATCTCGGCTTGATATCATCTCTTAAGCACTCACTGTTTTAGAGTATTCAGTATCACAAACTTAACAGCGACTACATAGCAAAGAGACTCTTCTGGGCGTACGATGTGTCGTCGTCGTCGTCTAACTCATTTCGGGTTCCTGAGAACAATGATGACCGAGTCGCCGCGGAGGAACATCTTGCTGATGAACCTGTCCTTGTTCACTGGAAGGGCCTTCTTCTTGCCTTTGCCAGTCTTTGGAACCTGTAACCAGAGCAGGGGATGTTAGTGAACAGTCACAACAATAAGCTCGAAGATAAGGAAGCAGCGCGGAAGTTGGGGTAATGTGCACATACCTCAGTCCACATCTCCCGGACATTCTCAAGAACCATGTTGCAATGACGGTCAAATGCCCTCACGCGACCAAGTAGCTTCTTGTTGTTCCGGCAGTTGATAAGCACCTGAGGCAGAAGAGAGCATACAATGTCAGTACAACGGCTAAAGTGGGAAACATCATCTGTAGTCAGTGCAAGTGCAGACATGCAGTCACTTAGAGATCTACTTCTTCATTATTTATTATACTGCATAGAAGAGTGTAACATGCGTGTTCGCGGCAAGCAAAGGTGTAAGGTTACACGCATGAAACATTTACGTAAAAGAGCCCGCCTACAGAGTACAGAATCACATCAAGCACGCAGACATATACACAATAAGACTTGTAGCAGCTATCAAGCAGATCAGCTAACAGCATTTTCTTTTTTTGCGTCCATATATATATGTACTAATCAAGGTTCATGGTGTGCATTGGGCTCACCCAAGGGTTCATAACTGGCTACACATTTCAAACATTGAGACTTCATTAAACAGTCAGTAACTACTCTTGCAGCCAATTTTACAGTAGCTACTACACAGACCGATCTAGTTAAGTATATGACAACACAACCGACAACAACAATTCCAATTCCAGATATTCTCAATTTAGTAACCATATAATACCATCGCAGTGGTACATGACCAATACAGAATTGCACTTGTCAAAATACAACACAGTACTATCCAGTGCGGACCATTGCATCACCTTCAAATTCCAGACAAGAGATGAACTTTGATAAAAGATAATTTTCAGGTAACAGAGTTGCATTTCTTTCAGTTAATAAAAGGGCCTATGATACGCAATGATAACACTAGGACAGATGCTGCACAGGAACTATTAGCAAACACAATTCAAGAAAGCCACTGTTCACTTGCGCAGCAGGATCAATACAACCAACAGTGCACAAAAGAGAGCTTTCAGGTTAAACAGTTGCATTTGTTTTTACTCCATAAAAGGGGTGTATCCTTTTTTTTAAGTTAAAAAGGGTGTATCCTATATGCACCAGCACCAATAGCACCAGGACAAATGCTGCAGAGAAACATGATGCAGAGAAACCATGTTGATTACCAGGGCATTTAATTTTGCAGGGCAAAGAGCACATCATTATTAGCAAAGGCAATCCACGAAACTACAGTTAATTTGCAACAATATGTACAGAGTTGCATGCTAAGTTTCAGGTTACAGAAAACTACGATTCGCCCAAACTGAATGCAATTAACTTTCAGATTACAGAGCTGCATTTGTTTCAGTCATTAAAACGACCTATTATATGCTGCAATAACACTAGGACTATACGCTGCACAGGAACTAAATTGATTACCCGCATATTACGCACCAGGGCATTCAGCTTCACAGCACCGAGAGGGCGGCGCTATTAGCAAAAACAACTGACGAAACCAATGTTGACTTCCACAGCAGGATTCATCACAAGCAACTAGGTCGATTGGATATTCAGGCACTATATCGCACAACTAGGACACCACAATTCAAACAGGTGCAGACAGACTTTATATAGAACAAAAGGGAAATCCCAGCCCTTGGCAAAGCTGGGGTGACGACACAAGCAAGAACTCGGCATGCTCACCTGAGTATTGTTCTTGACGCTCATGAGGAGCAGGGACAGGGGCCCGGTGCTGAACTCCTCCTCCTCCTTCTTCGCCGCCTGCCGCCGCAAACAGAACAATGTCAGCCGCCAGTTAGACGTCCATACACCCTGAGATAAAAGTAGGGGGAAACTGCGAGCGCGGGATGGATGCTTACATTGGCAGCTGCTTCTTCCGCCATCGGTACGGCGCGAAGCGGAGCCGGCGACCTGCGGACGGGAAAGAAACCAAATCAGCAGCAAGAGCCCGGGGTGAATGAACGAACTGTGGCAGCCCCCTTGTACAAACAGCTAGACTACCCGCGCGGGGAGGGGGGAGGGCGGAGGAGGAACCCTAGATTTCAGCGGC